GGTACACAATTAAAAACATTTTATTTAGGCCTATCTATGGCTGTTGTAACGTCGAAACATGTAGGGTCGTCAACTTTTTGAAGGCCATAGATAGGCCTAAATAAAATGTTGTTAATTGTGTATCAGTTTAACGTTGAATATTATTTATGATTTTAACCATTAATGGTACCAAGAATTATTTAAAAAGTCACATTAAAACTCGATAATGCATCACATTGAAAGCGCAATAATTTTACGTCAACGGCTACTGTTTTTACAAAATATATCAGGCAAGGTTATTTAGAGATTTTGAGTAATAACAAAAACATAACCTGAAGATTGGCACTTTAACAACAAACAGTTTGCGATACAGAAACATCAAGTAGTTGAGTCATGAATATTTGTTTGTGACACAAGTATAGCACTACAAAGAACAATAAATAAAACATGGTGTAACTAACAGAATTACCTTTAAACACAATCTTTGACACGTCAAGGTCACCGCACGGTAGCAGCACTGAAGTTTGGCACTATCCAATCCAGTAGTTTCCACTCCAGCAGAGGGCCTTGGAGCCGGGTTAGAAGAGTCAGCGTTTGCCAGAAAACACTGCCACAGTTCATCCTAGTATATAAATAACTGGTTATATATAAATGTATACACAAACCTATGGTAAAACTTTTTTTTATATTATGGATGCTTACCTAATGGTTGTAAACAAGTTTATGTATACATATATTTATATAGTAAACAAGATGATGGGATTTTGAAGCAGAGTTTTTCCACAATACATTGTTTTTTTTCACTGTCTGCAACAATTATTTAAAGAGCTAACATAATCATAAAACTTCTTCGGGACCGTCCTTACGTATATACATGCATATGAAAGTCATTAACCCAACCACCTACTTTAATTCAATAACTGTGTTATATCAGGGGATGCAGTAATCATAATTCATCACGAAATGAATGAAAAAAAAATCCACAAAAAGAAACAGTTTTTTTTAATACATACATATAAACAGCTAGAATACACTTATAGAAAAGACGTCTGGGGAAGCAGATGCACGTGTGTTTTTATCTCTTCCACGGGTATTCAATGAGATTCACAAAGTTTCCTTTTCTGTTATTTATCAGATAAATAGTTAAACACAACATAGTCTACAAAGCTATAATAATAATAAACTTACTGGTAATTTAAGAAAACCCGTCCTTATGTAATTGTACATTCTTAAATCTTTAATTACCCAAACAAGGGAGTGAGGACACAAAAGAAAATAGTTGCAAACCGCACTTGGTAAAAAAAAATCTAGTTCAGCATCCATCAATCTAATCTTAAAATACA